TTGATGACAAAGATTGATGTATGAACCGAAATAGGAGGGGTTAAGTAATGCCGCTAAAACAAAAACAACAACCCGGCTGCCGTGAGCCCTACCCAAATGTATGCCCAGTGGCTTGTGGTGTTTTAATAAACGTTATCGAAAAAATGCGCCAATGATTGGACTGCCTGTACATACTTATCTTTATGTGCAAACTGGCCAACTTTATTATCGCGAACTGCCTTACTAACGACCTCAACTTTCAAAGTAAGTTTAAACTTAGAACACGTGAACTGAGTTTATCTTGAACTGCTGTCTGGCATTTGATTGGCTAATCCTAGTTTAAACCACAGCCGTGCACTGAAAAACTGGCCCTAAGTCTCTTATCCAACCAGACCAAGTATCATGACCCTGTCTACAAAATTCAGTCGGTTCGAGAGCTATTAACGCTGCTCCCTTCAGCGAATAAGTCCGAACTACGAGTCTACAGATTTTTAATGTTCGCTCATGTTCATACATAGTATACACTATGAGGTCTACGTACCAGAATGACCCAGATTTATATTTCGCCGAAGGTTGCTATCCTAGCTGCAACGCAAAGTAAATATGCTTGTATCTTAAAAAATGTTTATTTTATATTTAATAATTTTTACGCTAATAACAAACGTCTCGGATTTTCAGCAAACTTTTCGATTATTTCCTCCTGAATCACCTCGCGGTTTTCGGTAATGAGTTTTCTATGGACGCACATGAGCCATGATCCAGAAAGCCTTTGTTTGCTCTACGAAGTGTATTAAACGATCGCTCCACAGTCGCTGTTGTGCATGAAAAAAAAAAAACACTCAAAATGCAAACACAATTATCTGTCGCTGGTAGAAATTCATTTGCTTCTTTAAATACATCTACAACTTGAACATTGAGATTATAGATTTGTTCAAAATGTTTCGCGTTCTTTTGTACCTCTTCATTGCTGGAGATGGAGTATTTTTATTGGAAAAGCGTAGTTGTAAAGAGGCCGTTAGTGAATCTAGATAAGGCATTATTACTAGACGTAGCCAGTACTTCTTTTCATTACTCCAAATCGATCATGTTGCGATAGACAAAAGGCATGCTTCCAGTGTTTTAGGCGTACGTACCCTCCCAGGGCCAAACATCGACTCGGACCGCTTTCCTGTTGCAGCCAATATAGCATCCGCCTCTGTGCAGCAAAAACTGTGCGCGCAATAATGCAAGGAAAGCTTAACGTCGAAAAGTTGCCGTCACCACAGACGGTCAAAGAATTCGCTACTCGACTCTCACACCTGCTATTAGAGAGCACTCTTCAACAAACCGACATATGCGAGCAGTGGAACCACATTTCCCGTTCATTAAGTACCGCCGCCGAAGAAGTAGTCGAATTTCAGCAAGCCCGAAAGAACAACTGGTACGATGAGGAGTGTCACGAAGCTGCAGAGAAAAAAGATGCCGTCTACAGGGCCATGCTGCGATGGGGCACAACGCAAGCCATGTTGGCAGTTATAGGGAGCTGGCCGACAAGAAAGACGCCCGAAAATTTTACCTGAGAGTTAGTCGACTTAAGGAATGTTTTAAGACCAGGGCGAACTCTTGTAAGAACAACAATGGCGACCTTGTGACTGATGCCCCGAGCGTACTCAAATTATGGAGGGAACACTTTTCCACCCTTCTGAATGGTAGCAGTAGATGTTGACGGAGTCACCTGACTATGACGAGGTACGAATAACAATAGCACGCTTGAAAAGCAATAAATCTGCTGAAGCTGACAGCTTGCCAGCGGAGCTATTCAAGTACGGCGGCGAGGAGTTGATAAGGTGCATGCATCAACTCTTATACATAATATGGTCACGCCCGACGACTGGCATCTTTTTGTTTTGGTTGGAATTACTCATAGCACTTTTTGGTATTGGTATCAGTACTCATTGGCACCAATTGTTATGGATCATGAATAAGTACACCAATTTTATTAGTACTCAAAGCCGGTTTCTGATCCTCTACATGGCAAGCACAGTTGCCATTTTGGCCGAATGTACAATTTTTGGCAAGTTTTTTTTTAGTTTGATACATAAATTTCAGATTTGGCACATTTTTGAAATCTGGCGAAACGATATAATTGTTACTGACATCATATACCTATTTATTAATCTCACACAGGTAATTGAAAAGCATTGCAGTATAACCAAATAGCCATTTGAGCGGTCCTTGACATCATACGAAGCCAAATCCAAGGACATGGCAAGAAAGCATATTTTTCATGTAATTACTATAATAAGGCAGCAGGAATTAGGAGACAGTAGGCAAGAGCTCCTGGAAAATTTAATAGGCAACGCTTTTCGCTATGCAGATAAGCTGTTCATCTATGTGGTGGCTGCAACATTGCCTCTAGATTGTAAACAGCCTTAAAACTGATTGAGAAATGATGCTCTGAAGAGGGTCTACCAATAATTGCACTTAAGTCCACCATCGTCAACTTCAACAAAAGAAGAAAAGTCAACGTGGCTTAAACCCAAGTGGAAATCTCGAAGATTTAGTTATCGCAAGAGGGGAGGTATCTAAAGTAAATTTAAATTTAATTTAATAAAAGGTTCAACAGAAATAATGAAAGTATTCGTAGAAAGAGAAATGGGGCCAGCATATATATCACTTCTGACAGTCAGGAAGCATTAAGTCTTGTGTGAAAGAGTCTACTGATTATTCAATTAAGGGTAAGGGTGGACCTTTGGTTGATACCGGGACATGAGGGCTTTGTTGGCAATGAATGAGTTGACGTTCACGCAAAGCGTGGGATGCAACGGAACCTACACAGCAGAGCTACTAGGCTATTGGGAGGATCACATGCTGCCACCGAATGGCGGAGAGATAAGGCACTCTAGAAACCCATAACTCCTCCTCAGGAACGACTTATGAATTTTAGTCCGGAAGGCCTGAGCACTTTCACAGTCTGTGACTGGAATATATTATGCGATTTCTCACGTATCATATGTAGGTCTAAGACTCTTATATGTACGTCGGAGAGCGATTATCACCCCCGTCCAGAATCTGAGACATGCCACCCTCTAAAACGTTTAATTTTACAAGTGCTCTAGAGTTGGAGTGAACTTTTATATGGTCAGCACAATAGATCTGTATACATAGGTCGCATTTATTCGCTCAACAAAGTTTATAATAAAACAACTATTTGTCTATTTTTACAAAGAATTTTTCTTAAGGAAAGTAGGATCGAGGCGTATTAAACAAGGTGTGATTGGCAACTCAGTGTGGCTCTTTTTTAAGGCACTATGATGCCAAAAAATATAAACAAACGATTCAAAATTCATAAAATTTTTTTTCCATTTAACCAAGGCGAATTTATATAAGGTGGTGTTACTAGTTCAGCTGATTTTGTGTATGTGTTTCGCCGCACGGCTTCTGTAGCTCGTTTCTGTAACAATTCTCTACCAAGGCGAATTGAGATATGAATTCGCCGCCCTGTTCTCTACTGCTAATTAGCAGGTGAGAGTGACGTATTTTCTCTACCAGTAGAGAAATAATCGGTAGAGAAAAGTTACAGAAACGGGCTACTGATATCAAATTGAAAAATTTTGTTTGAATTTCTACACACACTCTTACAGATTTTGACAGTTTATGCCGCCAAAGCAAAAACAAAATACATGTAAATTTTTATTTTTGTACTCCTGCTATCACCTTATATTAATTTGCCTTGCATTTGACTTTATAGGATGGTTATTATGAGCGCAATGTCACATTCAATCACACTTAGTTAAATATATTTTGGGTATGATCCAGCATTATAGAATAGTTGGCAAAACACGCGAAAATTGGTTTATTAACTATAGTTGCGTTCGATAACAAAATTAGCCAACACCAGCCAACAATCAAAATGAAGAGAGTAAGCGAAAATTCTCTCCCAAAGAGAAGAAAAAGCAAAAAAGTAAACGAACAGGAAATTAGCCATCACTTGCAAAAACCGGAAGAAGAAGACACACCAGCTGACTTTGTTTATGTTTTATTTGTAAACAAACTGAAATTCATGTTGGCTCCATGGAAGAAAAAAGGAAAGTGATCGTTCAATGTTCGCCAGGAACATTTCTAGAAGTAAAAACTAGTTGGCGCTATCATAAATTCACATAGCAGGCAGCCAGAAAGCATATATGTAAATACCAAAACTCGAAAAATCCGATTTTGTTTGTTTACAAAAAATTTGGAAAAACTATTACAAATTTTTGACTTGTCGAACGCAACTTCTATCACTAATGTGTAGTATGCGAGGTACTATTTAGATGGGGTACACATCCGGTCATGCTAGTATAACACAATAGGGCTTTTGCCTGAAGTGTGACGCTCTACGCATTCCCTATACTGAGTGGCGGTCAACAAAACTTAACCTTAGCTATGGTGAATTCATACCGCTAAGGTTTGCTCGTAGAACAAAATGAGCTTAGCAAATTTTTCACTGCATATTTTTTACCATATTCAATTAGAATGGTAAATGCATTCGCCGCGACAAGGTAAACGGCACGGATAAGCTCTACAACTTTTTTTTATTCTCTGCTCTTTCTTCAAAATTTGCATCTGCTGTTTTAAATGAACTGCATTAATGCTAATATCGTATCGAAAACAAGTAAATTCAAAGGACAAGTTTTGAAAGAAATGACAAATTAAAAGGACTGTACTATCAATTGAAATAAAGTACGGATGGTCATCGTAGGTATACCGCCCCCAAACAGCACAAACTTACTTACGCTTTTTTATGGCCAAAATGGAGCTGGGAGTTTTCTACCACACTTCAGATTATACCAGTGCCGAGCAACTGTTGCCAACAACAACTTTGTGTGATCAATAATCACGCTTTTATATATGTATATAATTTGAACGAAAACTCAAAGTGAATTTTTATTAACGTCAAAATTTAAAAAAAGAAAAAAATTTAAAAACTAATATTGGTTCTTACATAAAAGAAAAAAGAGAATATTAAAAAAAGACGAGTAATAAACCTAACCAATAAAAAGACATTATTCAAATAGCTAAAGCGTTCAACTAGTTGCACTTCAAAGCGAAAAATCGCTTTAGGACAACCGGAATGGAACGCTACCACGTCGGTGGTGACCATAGCACAGAATCATGTCACAGCAATAAAAACAACAATAATGAACTAAAGGAAGTCACCGGTTTAACGCGCATCACTAAGAAGCGTCTAAAGGAGCTCTGCAAAAAAGATAAGCTCTATCAGACGCCTGCGCTTAATGATGTGCTTTATCTACACTATCAAGGTCAGTGGCAAAAGGGCTGGGTTTGGCGTCGACTCCCCGCTTTAATTATTCTTTATTTACTTACATAGGCATCCATTGCATTGAGTGCTTGGAGGAGTACACCGGCCTTAAATGTCTTTGGCTGGAGTGTAACGCGATCTCTGAGATACAGGGACTCGAGCATCAAAAAGAACTCAAGTGTCTCTTCTTGCAGAGCAATTTAATAAAACGTATCGAAAATTTGGAGCATTGTCCGCAATTGGATACGCTCAATCTAGCATCGAATCATATCCGAAAAATCGAAAATTGCGGCGTGGATGTGCTGCCAGTTTTGAGTACATTGAATTTATCCTCTAACTATTTGAAAGACTTTGACGGTCTCAAAGATTTGGAGAATTGTAAGTCACTTTCAGTATTGGATTTGTCGAATAATCGTATCGATGATATATTGGTGGTGAAGGTGAGTAGCGAAACAGAGTGAAAGAGTTAAATATACTGTGCTGAAATCGACTTAAAAAATAAGCTTTTTTTAATCTCCAGATTTTTGCTAAAATGCCACAATTGCGCGTGTTAGTGCTGCAAGGCAATCCGGTGGTGTCTAAAGTACCGCAGTATCGAAAGACACTGATATTGGAATGCGTTAGTATTACATGAGCCTTATTGAGTATGTAATTAATTTTTTGCGAATGTTCACGCTTGTTTTTCGTTTTAGCAAGAATTAACCTACCTCGACAGTCGCCCTGTATTTCCCAAGGACCGCGCTTGTGCAGAGGCTTGGTAAGTCGCCTGCATGCTTGGCACTGCCGAGTAAAAATATATTGTTCTCGAAATTTTCCAGGAAACGTGATGGTTACGAAGGCGAGCGTAAGGAAAACGAACGCTGGAAACGCATGGAACGTAAGAAGATACGCGATAGTGTTAATGGTAGGTATATGCAGCTATTTTCAGGGCACATAAAAAGCAATATTTTATAAAAAAAAAACTGTTGAGGACTCTCTTGCTCGTACCCTAAACTGATTACAAAGTTGGTTTGAGCCGAATACCTTATCATATTAGGGCGATTTTGTGACGAATTAAAATTGGTAAAACTAAAAATGTTCCCCCAGTTTTCGAAGTCTCCTTTCCTGGGCGCCAGAAATTCCCCGTGCTTTGCTTTTCTGAACTTCATATAACAGGGCAATTTTGGCATAGAAAATTTTAAGTCTCTTGTAAGAAGAAAGACAGTAGGAAAGATATATATAGCTCAATTCTGGCAAATGTTTTTAAACTCACCACAGTCTTTCAAAAGACAAAAGTTTTGAAAGCTCTATACTGTCTTTCGAATGACTAATTGAAAGATCTGCGATCGAGTTGTTCGTAGCGTTATGCTGTTCGCCTTTTAGACATAAGTTTTTTAAAAGATAAATTCAATTTAAAAAAAGGTACAATAAAAACTAAAACAATAAAAACTAATTAATGAAAGAAAAAAATTAAAAAATAAACAAAATTAAAAGAAGAAAAATTTTCAATAAAAAAATAGTACTGTAAAACAAAAAAAAAATATTTTGCTTTTTAACAAATAATTTCAAAACTGGAAGGAAATTAAATTAAAAAAAAAAATAAGATCATCAAAATGAATCAAAGTAAAAAATTTCGTTTCTCTTTGTTAACAATAAAATCTAAAAATTTCAAGAAAATTAAAATAAAGAAAAAAAAAATTTATTTTAAAGGGAAAAAATAATACAAGTTTCTAAAGAATAAAATGAAATAAAGAGATATTTTTTTAAAGAATAACATCTAAGAATCAAAACAAAATTAAATTCAAAAGAAAAGATACACAAAATAAGTTTCTAAATATGAAATGAAAAAAAAACAAAAATATTTCTGTATTTTAAACAATAACATCTAAAAACTAAAAAAAGAAATTAAATTAAGCAAGTAAGGCAAGCAGGCAAGAAAACTGACTTCAATTCCCATATAAAAATTTAATAGTATCGTTAATTTCTTCATGACTCAATGATCGGATCTAAACCATATTATTATGGGACCACCCTTGAGGTAACACATTTCCGATAAAAAAGAATCATCAAAATCGGTTAACGTGGTCCAAAGTTATACGGTAACATACATGATAAAAAAATATATTCCGACGAATTCACAAACTCCTCCTTTTTTTGAAGTCGGTTAAAAAGAGATAAAAGCTTAATTTGAAATAGAAAAGAATACCTAAGTTCGTAATAATCAAATGAAATTAAAACAAATATTCTAATTAAAAGAATAACATCTAAAAACTAAATTAAGAAAGAAAATAAATTCAGTTGAAAAAGAAAACAAAATACAGAAAACAAGTTGGTGAAAATTAAAGGACATTACAAAATATTTATTTTTCTTTTTAAAACACAAATTAAAAAATTATAAGAAAATTAAATAAAAATAGAAAAAAACTAAATAAAAAATCCCGCTCCGAGAACTCGACCTTGGATTTCTCGATGGGCACTAATATGCTTTGTACACTCCGCCATTTTTTATTTTAATTTTAAGATTTTGTTGTTTATGCTTTTAAATATTATGATTTTTAGAAACTTATGTATGTTAGGTATTTTTAATTTTTCTTAATTAGATTTTTTCCTTTTTTAATTTGAAATTTCTTGAAATTTTTATGGCCCTAAGCGCTGTTTCCAACTCTCAAGAAAAACAAAAAATTCATATAAAATCACTCACAAGAAATGGAAAAGAAATCTTCTTCTATTAAAACTTCTTAAATCAGTTTGCAGCTTTTAAGAAAAAAATGCTCTCATATTTGTTTCTTCAAGAAAATTTAGGGCAAAAGCAAAGTGTTTTTTCGAGCAACATTGTGGTTGTTCACACTTGCCTGGTAATCAGGTTATCTTGTAAAAAATTATTATTCTGAAGTGCATTTAATTGTTGTAATCTGAATAAAAAATATAACCACATAACCAGATTATCTGATAACCAGGCAAGTGTGAAAAACCACAATTAAAAATATTTCTTATGATTTTTCTTGAGAGCTGGATTTTAAGCTTTTATCATAAAAAATAAAATAGGTTTAAAGAGTTTTCTTTATTGCCCCTTTCTCTTTTCGTGTTCGATTCTAAATTAAAAGCAAAGAGTGAGAAAATTGTGTGTTCGTTTCTTAAAATGTCACACTCTTGTAAGGCAAAAAAGGCACATTCTCTGCCTTGTGAAGCTTTGTCAAGGGAGATGGTTGCCCTGAACATCAGATGGTTGCTTGAAATGCGTGAGCAAGACAACGACAAGAAGGAAAAACATACCTTTTACAGGGTTGAGTGTAACATCAAACACATTTTCCACCGGGGAAGGACATTTTTTGGAAGAAAAGAATTCACCATAAGATTTTTATTTCCGATTTAACTTCTTACGCTTTTTAATTTAACTTTCTTTTAATTTTTAATTGTTATTGTATAAAAAAGGAAAATATATGTATCTATATACATATAAATGTATGTTTATTTTCCCTTTTCGGTTTCTCCGATGCTCTCCTAGCCCCACGCTAACTTAGAGCTAACTTCGAAAAGAGTTACAGTACAGAAGGAATAGTTGTTTTAAAATGCGAATGACCAAAATAAATCAATGAAATATTTCAGAAGTCAGTTGAGAATTGTAGTCACGACAGCGAGACGTACATGAGATACAGTTACTCTCGTGGTTGTGCTCCAAAGTGTGAAGAAGGGCACGAATGGTGTTCATTCGAAAATTTGGAAAAAGAACAAAAAAAAAAACAACAAGAACTAAAAATCTTTGAGCCCGATTTTTCCAAGCTTTTTTATACCGAAGGCAATGAAGAAGATTGTTCATCATGTATCCTAGTCACTCCACGGGACTTGAAGCGTTCCTCGAATTAGCGACAGCCTTGGGCAACACGTCACCTGTCAAACAGTAACTACCCCCTGCAATGTTAACGTTTCTTAAAAAAAGCTTGCGTACATCGAACCTAATACAAAAAGGATTGAACTTGACAAAGGGATGTGTCGCTCATCTCATCTGATGCGGACTTCATATTTTTTTTTATAACAAGAGCCCGCTCAAGTGTGCGATTCAAATTTCCAGAGAGGTGGAGTATCTGAGACTGGTACTGGTTGCTAAACTTTTATGGAAGAGTCGTGTAGCCTCGGCCGTAACGAGAGCTTTGAAAGCGTGAAAACGCCTTTTGTGAAGGGTGGGTTGTAGTCCAAAGAAACAGAGTGCATTGCACATTATAATCGGAAGCCCCCTACCCACATTTAGGTACTCGCTCGTTCAAAACTTTCCCATATGATTAGCATGTGCTACGAAATAGTTTTTCGCATTTTTTGACGAACTTGTAATTTTGAGTTGCATCATTTTTGAAGATCGTGTGCGATATGTAATGCAGAAGCAATGCCTCCATGGCGCTGGAGTACGTCTAGAGCTGGAGCCACTTTATCCATTCCTGGAGCCCATAGTTAATCGAACACTAATGAGATTTCCTAAAGAAGGGTTTGGCAAAAAAAAGGTCAAATGATCTACGAACATACAGAAGCTAGGATCTTAGCTCCCATTACACCTACTACATAAGCAATATCGTAGTATTCGGTAGAAAAATCTAAATAGAATGGAGTAACTTTATCTTACATAGACACCTCCAGGAGGGTGCTCTATGCGGGCAGCTCGAAAAAATTCCAGAGATTAAAGTTGTCAATGCAAATTCTCTCAGCATTTTTACAGCAATCAATCTGTGCACGAATTAAGTACCGTTAAGAGAGTCGGCAGCATTGTAGTGTGAAGAAATTTGAGGAGAGTTTAAGCTTTTGCCTGCTCCTGCCCCCAAAACCCTTTTAAGTTTTCTGTGGTACTAAGCTTTGAAGAGTGGAGGGAACATAAAATCTCTAGGATGATAGATATAAATACATTGATAGCTTTGGTATGTGCCTAGGTCCCGGGCTTGCCCAAAACTCTCAAAAGCAGTGTAGCAAAGCGGCACAAACCATTTAATTGGCTTCCGAATTTGATCAGATGACTTCTTTATTTGCAATGATCTGGTAAAGTATCCGTTAAATTTATTATTTTATTCTTAGAGCGGTTGACGACAATGGGCCGTATGAATAAGAACTCAGCAACTGCTTTTTGTTAAAATTGCATACCTTTTACTTAATTTTGTTTGAATAAATCGAGTAAAAGGTTTGAAATTTTAAGGAAAAGCAATTGCCTTTTTTTATTCATACGGCCCAGTAGCTCTGTTCTTTTCTGTTCTTTTTTCTTTGATTGAAAAAAGGCCGTCGGTTCTGTCGGTGTATGTAGTTGCTGCAGGACGGCTGCCGAGCCTCATTTACTTCCTTGTCTTTTCGAGGCGGTTATTTTCTCTATGCACTCGGAAACTAATGAGTCCTATATTTTATTGAAGCTAAGGGCTTTTCGCCGTGTCCTTAAGCTGCAATGTTTTCGCTCAAGATTCATCTCTGCACACAGACTTATCCATTTGTGTTTTTTATGAGATACATAAAATAATTTTTTGCTCAAAACAGCGAAGCTTTAAAAGTATTATATATCTTCTCTCTTTCTCAGCCACAATTCGCATGCGAAACAAGCATCGGCCAGCAGATCAGCAAGATCCACTATTCAACTCCTCCGATTCAGAGGAAGATTGCGCCGAAGTGAAACGCGCACGTCAAGCGGAAGTAGACGCTGGCATAAATATGGAACTGGGCATCTGGGAGGAGGTCGTGAATGAGGACAGCAAATCGCAGACCTCTTTAGACATGAACGTTAGCTCATCAACATCGGGGCTCAGTACCACCGATTCGAATGCAAATATTTCCGCTGACTCGAAATCCATTGGGTTGCAACACAATTTGGACAATGAAGCGAAAGTTGTGAACGATTCGCCAGTTACAAAGTCTCAAGCCTTAGCTATAGCAACAGATGGTAATTTTGGAAGCATTTTGAAGCTGGTTGATGTGAGTGCAAAGGAAGGGTTTGAGACAAACGCTAACAAGGTAGCCGAGAGAAAGCGAAGTGATGTCACTGTTGGGCAGAAGAGGGTACTTATTGAAGAGTGGCCAGAGATTGAGGTGGCGAATGAAGAGAATGCTGCTGAAATCACAAGTGGCGTAATCGAGCGTCTGCTAGACAAAGCGACTTTACCGACTTTTGCTCAAAAATCGACCGAACTTGATAAGCGTTTGTCCGTAACCAATCTTTCCGATTCAGATGACGCTGCGAAAGATGAGTATAATGCAACCGTCGATGCGATTGGTCAGATCACTATGCATGATCTTTCCAAACCCTCGCCTAAGAAACGCATCAAGTTACAAATTGAGGTAGACGAAGAGAGTTTGGACGTAATGGAAACGGAGCAGGACCGATTGGCGCGTAACTACGACATTATAGAAACGGAAACGCGTGAAAAGGTTGTTGAAGAAACTTGTGAGGAATCTGATGATATTGTGTTGTTTAAACCAAAAACCGTTGAGCAAATGAAATACGAGCTAGAATGCGCGGAGGTGAACGAGAAAGTGGTGGCTGATTTTGAAGAACTCTCTTCGCAAATGGACAACTTTATTGAAGAAATGCAGAAAGACCAGGAAGCGCTGGGTGTTCAAAGAGAGAAAAACGAAAGCATTTTGGATAACACATTTGAAACTGAGAGTACTGAAACTACTTATACAGAATTGGAAGAATATGGTGCAAGGCTGGATGTGCTACACGGAGAACCCACACCGGAGTTATATGTGGCTGCCGTATTGGAACATGTGGCACGAGTGGATAGCGATGTGGCAACCAAGATGACAACGATATCGGATATGGAAAAATGTGAAAAGCAGCAAGAAGAAGGTAATAGCAGTGGCGCCGATGTGCCAACCGCGGCCAGCAGTCTTGAGAAAGTGAATGTGCTGACAAGTATCGGCCCTAATGCAGATGCATTGCGCAACGACGTGCCTGGTGATCACGCTGATTTGTCAGCTCCGGTAATTGAGACGTTATTCGATGATTGTGGTAATGGAGTCGATATGAAAATTGAGAAGATTGTACCCGCAGATACCCTAAATTTCAGCAAACCCCAGGAGAAGGCTTTGGCTACTTTCGAAAGTGAGGAACGAGAATTGCGTCAGCTATTACAAAGGCTTGAGAATGAAAATGAGCAGCTGTATAATATCAATAGCGCCTACCGATGCGCGCTTGCAGAAGACATAAACGAGGAAATTAAATATCGTGAAAATGAGAAAAGCGAGCAAGTGCACAAAGTTTGTGAGGAAATAATTACGGACCTGCTGGATGAGTTGATTTTAGTGGATCAAAGAGCCGATGACCAATGGGCGAAGCCTAAAAGCTACCAGTTTGGTGAAATTGAATCTGATGAAGAATACTGTTACTCAGATCCACCCAAACCGCCAGAGCCTCCAGTGCGCAGCATACGTGATGTACTGAGCTCATTCAATGAATTACTCCAGGAAATATCACGCAAGAACAAGGCCGAGGAAGAACGTAAAGAGCACGAGTATAAAGAGGCGATTCACCAAAAATACGCATCCACCGACGCACAAAAGGCTGAGAGTCTAGAAAATCTTTTGAAATCACCAAACTTGCGCAATTTTAATGGCGACACCAGTGAGTTGTTAGATCAGAAAATCGCAGAGGAGAAGAAGCGTGAAAGTAAGCGTGTTAGGAAGCTTGTGGATCGCGTGTATGCGCAAAAAGATAAGTACAACGATACTCTGGAGGTAGTGGATGGCAAGTTGGTGGTGGTGAAGAAGGATACCGGCAAGATAGAGGATTTACCGGCAAGCAAATTTAATTACAGCGATAGTGAGGACACAGACCAATACGAGTCGGCACAGTCGGATGATGAGCAAGACACTGGAAAAGCGGGCCGCGTAGAGATCGGCGTTGCAGCCAAGTTGCATTACAAACCAAGAGAAATCGTTGCAGATGGTGAATTGGGTACAAAAATGATGCAATTGTGGGATGCGAGAGTGCGCCAAGCGGAGAGTGCTGGTACATTCAGGTTGCCTTACAGGCCAACAGAACGCATACCAGCTATGCAATTGATACAGAAAGCAAACGAGTGGAAGGAGAAAGAGGATGCCGCATGTGATGCGGCGGATGAAGAGGAAAACGAACAATTCTATTCACTGGAGGCAGCGAAACCGACAGTTTTTCGTGATTTAGATGAGGATTTTATTGACAAAATGGACTTTGAGAAGGCGGAACTTCAGCAAGCAAATGAGAGCGAGTTGGTTGAATGTGCGCGCAGCTATACGGAACTGAAACAGATTATGAAGGGGAATAAGGAGGAGCTGAATTTGACAGATGATGAAAATTTTCTGCTGCAGAAAATGTTGGGACTTGCTGAGCAAAAAGAGACGGAGGCTAAACAAACGAAGGATCCATTGACCGTTGAAGAGAATGAGCTACTGCAAAAGATGGTGCAGCGCACAAAGGAGAAGGAAAAGGAAAAACCGGGAGGTAGACATGCGGATGCAAAGACATGTGAGCAGAATGCGAAGCCGACGCTTTCGAAGCAGAAAATTAAAATTATCGAGCTGACCAGTGATGAAAACAGTCAGAGCAGTGGAGTTGATGGGGAAAACCGCGGCAATTTCATGAATATCAAGCAGCTGGATGCAGAGTACCCAATACCAGGCATTTTCAGGGATATGCTAGACGATTACGATCTTGGAGCAAAGACACCGAAAATGCGCGTCGACGACGCTGAACCTGAGTTGACTGTTTTGTTTACCAAGCAAACGAAAGAACGCATGGAGCTGAAGGCGGATGAACCGCATGAATGTGGACTTTTTAGGGATCCACTCGAATTGGGCAGAGGAGGTATAGCATACACACAGGAAGGCGACGAGGATGAATTCAAAGAAATAGATACCAGCTACGATGATGTATTGCCGGCAACTGATGAACTAGTTGCACAGGTGACAGAAGATGAGAGCGAAGAGTTGTGGCAGGAGCACAGCGAAGAGTATAATGAGTTAGGTGATGATAAACTGGTACAAGAACAAGAAAAGGAAAAGCACAAGAAAGATACTGCTGAAAAGCTACTTCAGAAGTGTGAGAGTCTCAGAGATGTGGCAGTAAGTGTGCTCAAATTCGATGGTAGTAATTACGAGGAATATGGCATTACTGAGGAAACAGCGCGTGGAGTTGTGGAATATGAAAAGATGCTAAACTTTGGCAAAGAAGACGAGGAGGAGTTTGTCGATGCGCCAATGCGAGAAGAAGAGCTGGTAAAAATTGTAACGGAAGCGCTAAAAAAGGATGAATTGAAGGAGAAAAAAGGGGTTGGGGTTGGCGGTGTTGGAGACGTCGAAAGTAGTTGTGACAAGTTTCGGCTACAGGTGGGTGACGTATTTCAAAAGAAGAGATTGCAAGCGGTCGAAGAAAAAGAGTGCGAAGCAGCAGGCAAGACGGTTGCTAAGGAGTTTAAGCCTGAACGCAAGCACAGTGAGTACACAAAAGCTAAAGCACCGGAATTGGAAAACAAATGGGAGGATATCGCCGAGACGGAGCAAGATAACATTGACGAGCCAGATTTCGCGGATATGAGCAAAGAAAACGTTAAGCAACTCGAAAACCTTGAAAAGGAAATCACGAATTATTTAGATCAATTCGATCTACAAATACAAACTAACGCCGATGAGAAGGAAACAATGGATGACGTGAAATTTCAAGATGTGTCAGAGGAGTATAAGGATTTTCCAGCAGTAGGCAGTAAAGCTGTTGCAGCTTTAGAAGTTGCTGATAGCGATAAGGTTGGGGTAGAAGTTGATGGTTCTCATAATGCTACGCCAGCGTTGACAAATCCTTCAGACGAGTATACAGATTTCCCAGCAGCCAGTGCTGCTCACAGTTCATACAAAGCTGAAGTGCTGAAGGTGACTGAAGCTGCAAGCTTGCGCGAGACCTTTTCAAAACTTTCATCCCGCCAAAATGAATCTCCAAATTCGAATTCCAGCTTTAAAAATTCGCACACCCACGCAGGCAAGGCAAGCACATTTGAAAGCTTACTCAAGTCTCCAATCTTAAAGCAGTTCAATGAGGATACTAGCGCGAGTTTGAATGCACACATTCAAGCGGCCAAGGAAGATGATTTTGATTTGATTGAGTGTAGTCTGGAAGTTATTGGCGATGACGATGAAGTGGTCAATGAGATTTCCGTCAGCGCGGAGATTACCTATAATCCATAAAACAATTTGCGTATTCCGCACAAAATTTGTGTATTTATTATATCTTTTATAATCGCGCATGTTAATCTTATCTTTTTCATCGTGTGTTGAAAGCACCGACAAATAAATAAAAATAAATGAAAAATATTGAATGACTTTGCAGAATCTCAGATTATTATTATTTTTTCAGTTAGTTTCACAACATTTTTTAATCGCTGTTGTTTTGACTACTTGGCATCAAAAATTTAAAACTAAATCCTACCTACTTAGGAAAATAAAATAAATTATCAATTGCTTAATTTAATCCTTTGAACTTTTGTTCCAATAACGACAATCTTCAAGAAAACCGGTTTGAAATTATAAGCACACCGGCTCAAACCAGTTTGTCACACTCGTATCAGTGCCAGTCAAATATGACAAAGTATACTCTGGATTAATGCAATTATCAATAAATTGAATAATAGAAAGCTAGCAAACAGCTCATGTAAGTCAATATAATTGAGTGTTTCTTATCAGTTAATAAATGAAAATAACCAATTGTCGTATACGATCAACGCGAAACCGGCGCAAACCAGTTGAGTTGAAACACTTGTGCACTCTTTACAAGCGAATCGTGTCGTTTAGTGCACTAAACAAAGGGTCTTGAGGTTATCTGTAATTTAAATGGCAGATGCAATGCATATTCGAACTGAGCTAAGCACAAAAACGGCGTCGTCTAAACCAGCTCCTTAGTATTCAGTGAGTACAGAGTCCGTACTACAGACTTAAATGAAAAGCACGTCAGCTAACGGCTGATGAAATGTAATGCTACTAATAACTACTGTAAGAGAATGCCAGGCCAAAAGTTGTACTAATAAGGCCTAATCAGTTTTTTGGCTGTGTGATTTAGCCTTTCACATAATATGGCTCAATAAGTCTTTATAGCCGTTGCTTGCAAGGTTGATCCCACGCAGGGAAGCCAACTCGTGGGGAATTCCCCGATTTGCGGGGAATTTCAGCTTGTGTGGGGAATCGGGGAATGGACCGTTTTTTTACATTTTTTACATTTTACATAAGGAAGCGGGGTATCAACTGGTTTTTGTGAGGAATTCGGTGTAAAAAAATTGTAAGTGAAAGTGTCACACCCGTCACCGTGGAATGCGCTGTATGCAGTTTTGTAGCTCTGTCAATTCTAATATAATAAAGTTTCAAATGGCTAAAAATTACCTTTGATTTTTTAGAATTTTTTTTTGTCGCATTTGCTTTTATATAACGAATGTACAACATTTATTTTATACGGAAGAAAATTGCAACACCTTCGGCAAAAAGAAAATCTAAAATGAAAATTTTTAGGCACTTAAAACTTGCACTTTTTCATACTACAATTGAGTGGGCTACAAAGCTGCATACTCAAAATGGTTCTAGAAAATCTAATTAAAAAGTTCGAAATTTTTACGAGAGTTTGTTGAATTTTTTTAAATATTGCACAAAGTTTTAAACATCCTGTAACCATACAAAATCAGGGACCGAAAATAACAGTAATTTTTTTAACAGTTAAATTTGGCCAAATATTTTTTCAAGGCCGAAATAAAAGTCCTTTCCAAATAAAATTTAAAAAAAATTTGGTATCAAATGAGAAATATTCTGATTAAAAACTTAATCGCTAGGTGGCGCTGGGGTCTGGATATTCCAAAAAACTGCATTTTAGTTACCGATTTGGCTCATATTTAGAACATATGTTAACCAATTAAAAATAAATATTTGGGCGTTAAAGCTTACTAGATAGGTGGCATTGTAGCCGAAGTTATTCCTAACATTCTTATACAGTGGGAGAATGGTGGATAACTACACATAGGTATGTATTTAGCATATTTATTTCACAGAAATAAATAGTACTAATCTTAGCTGATTGTTTGAATATTTACTGATTTAAAATCAGCTATATTTTACACTTTTACAAAAATTACGTGTTATCGCTTAGGATGCCCTCCAGAAAAGAAGGGAAAAACGCAGAGCAATTAAGAATGTCAAAAATGGAGATAGATGAAAATAGATGACAAGGAGTTTGCTAGCTTGAAAGGTTGCCAGAGCTTTTGTGAAAAGTTCAGAGTAGCCACATTACTCTTTACGTATACATACGTCACAATAAAAAGTTGAAACGCTTTTTTTAAGTGCATCAATGTATCTTCTAAACCAACTACGCTGGGAACTGAAACTTGGCACGGCTGCATAAATTGTAAATACCCTACTTATGGCGAAAATTGGTACGTAGGCATTTGAAAAGGGTACGTGGCACCTCCCATACAGACTGAACTTCTCATATCGCCTATCTCTGGAACCGCTTATGCTAACAGCTTGAAATCTGAAACAGCTGAATATGTCATCAGGAGCGTACTTGTGGTAAAAAAAGTGCCAGGTATTGGAAAAGGGCGTGTAGGACCTCCGTTACAAACTCAACTTCTCATCGCTTATCTCTGGAACCGCTTATAATAAAGTCTTAAATTTTTCGACATCTACATATTTTGTCAATAACGTACTTAAAGCGAAAATTGGTAGTTATTTTAAAGGGGGTAATCATCATTCGATTGGGAACCATTTTCTTCTAGATATCTAAATGCATTGAAAATTGTTATTATTATTTGTTCGTTCTAAAGGTTTCAAAATGTAATGCAAATTTTGAGAAGTTTTTTTTAAATTTTCCACAAAGTTTAGAATTTTGGTTTTTATGAGTTTCGCTAGAGACTGTCCTATTCTTTTACAAAAAACACAAAATTAATTTAGTACTTATGCACAGTCTAATTAAATGGACACAAATCAATGGTGATATTATTTTAACATGCACTTTACATTTGTATTTTGGTTGATTGTTATTACTTTTCATCATTTCCTAATAAAAACATAATGAAAAATTTAAAAAAGTTTTGTTGAAATCTTGGTTCTCTCATCTGTCATGAATATGTATAGGTAAAAATAGAAATTAGTGTCTTTCGTATGACCGCCATGCCTGACTAAACAGCTGAACCGATTTCGATTCTTTGACAAGTCCTTTTTTGAAATTTCTGTGTGAAAAGTTTTTCGCTAAACAAATTCTATACTTTTTGTTGTTGCTGAAGAAAGCTGAGACGTCACGATTTTACAATAGAGTTTTCTGTATTACAGCCCAGTTATACATACTTTGCACTGCTATACCATTTTTACGTAAAAATCAATACCCAACAGGATTCTACATGTGAAATGCTACGCGTTGGGTAACCGCTTACATGCAAAACTCATTCAACAGATTCCTTGATGTGACAACTCTCATTCAACGCCAAGTATGCATAACTGAGCTATTAGTCTGTTGCAATACGAGTTCGGTTTACAGGATTTAGTCAGAACTTACAGGAAGTCGTTCCTATAGACAAAAAACCTGAACTCTGAACACTTCTGAGAGAGTAAGTAAGCAATTCTTCAAAATCTGAAGTTGAAGGATTTAGTCCGGAGTTTTTCTTCCTGCAAATTCATGAAAAGTATCAAACAATGTGCAAGGTTGCATTTGTAAACAAAAACAGAACGCGGCGAAAGCAAAGAATCTTACATTTGGTAAAAAATGGAAGTAAACAACGAAATATTTGATTTGGCTGAAAGATGACTAAATAATTATTAAAATCTATATACTTACTTATGAATATTTTGGTACATATTCAAATATTTCGTTGCTAGGAGAATGATCTATACTAATATACATACATATATTTTGAAAGTATTTGTTTTTTGTTCGCAAACTTCAAGAATGGCTGCCCGGATTTTTTTTGGAAAATTTGGACACCTACTGTAGACTTTTCCAGTGAAATATTTTGGCGAATACGAAAAAATACGTATTATAAATTTAATAATTCTGGTGGAAAAAATGTCAACGTTTTGTGGTGATGCACCCTAATATACGTACATACACACTGTTTCCGTAGTGATTTTAATGATAAGAAATTTCGAGATGTTTTTAATACGTACTTCGATTGTTTAAGTCCCCTTTCGTTTGAAATTTGTTTTCAGAAAGCGTTTAAATTTGTTTAGACATTCGCGAATGTTTTTTTCTCTCATAACTAATTAAAAGAGATTTTTTACTTAAATATAAAACAAAAAAAAAAATATATATATACTCCTCACACGTAAGATACCTTAGATAAGCCACTCGAAACACTCCACCTTTTCGTCGATTATAAAGCCACTTTCGATAGTATGTACGAAGAGAAGCCAACACTTAATTGGTTACGTAGAGTGGCGTGGAGCACAGCTAATAGATACTTCTAAATTGAAAAATACCTTTTAAGTCATTCCATATAATAGTTTGTAGAAAAGACGATTGAAACATGCCACTGATTTAAGCGCAACTTTTTCCAGCTAAGAAAAAGAGGACAGGGAGGGTTTGGCCTAGCTGGGAACTTAAATTAGACTAAAAGTATCTTCTGGCAACAAAAAAAAAGAAGTGAAAAGGCTTGAAGTGGTGAAAGGCTTCGTCTTTCCGGGATGCAGCATTAACACCACCAATAACGTCAGTCTGGAGATCAAGCGAAGGATCATTCATGCCAACAAGTACCTTTTTGGACTTGATAGACTAATAAAAAGCAAAGGGGCCTAATAAGGGCACAGAGAACGATGCCAAACAAAGATGAGACAGCTTTGAGGGCTTTCGAGAGAAGTATGCTACGCAATATTTATAGCCTTGTTCGCGTGGGCGGCGGGCTCCGAAGAAAATGGAATAAGGAACTGTGTGAGCTCTATACCAACATGACTTGGGCAGGTGGTACGCATAGATGATGACGTTGCAAAGATCCGCCGATTCGTCGCTCGTGGGTGGACAGAGAAAGCAAGTGAGCCTGTGAACACAATGGAAACACCAAGTGTCGATGACCCAGCCAAATAATAACTGGCAGAACTTTCCAAAAGAGCGCGGGAATTCGCAAAGATTTTTAGTCTTCACCTAAACGGAAAAATAGTTGTTGCCCTAAAAAACAATAAGAAGTTTCCACAAGTAAATCGCTGATGAAAAGAAGCGATAAGGTCGGTGCGTTTTAAAGTGGATCACCTCATATAGCTTGGGGAATTTGCACAAACAGTTAAAAATCCTATTCACGACAAGTTAGTTAGGGGTCAGTGCTTTCTGGTACTGTAAATATTCTTTTTAATCAGAATCTGCTCAAATCTAGCCCTTGAATCGATTCTTTCTTGCTGCGGCTGTAGCAGATGACTAAAAATAAGCCGCCAGATTTAATTAACCGGAAATGCTTTGCCGCAATAATTAAGAGAGCTTCCCCCATACGACTACATTCGGTCTTTGCGGTGCTTCCTCGATGATGTAAAGTTGGCCTCAAATGCGTATTGTAATAAATACTTGATTAATTTTTTCACATAAATCCCAGACGTTTTACATTGACGGTATTATAGTTTTACTAGAAAAATGTCAAAAGATCGTCCTTCAAAATAAAAATATGATTTTCTGGTGAATTTTTGCAAATATCTACATTAGGGGAACTTTTGACGGTGACTTTTTTATGGGGACTCACATATACTACATACTTATTGCCTATGCTTATTATTTATGAGATTGTGATTGCAACTAACTAAAATATGCTGATTGAAAAAAAATTGTCTAACAATCAATTGTATACATATGTACTAGAGGGCTGCATGAATTCATTCAAACTTCTAGCCAAACAGAGTACAGTAGATTTGAATATTTTACTTCACATACAAAACACTCAGCGTTTGGAATTTTGTAAGTTATGAATATACATTTTGTTTTATATTTTCTACCTTCAAATGGAAGAATGTGAATGAATGAACGGAAAACATTCAAACTCAGTTCGGTAAAAGTTTTTTTCTACAAACAAGTTTTTTCGTATGTAATAGGAGCGCAGCAATACATTGTATGTTTGTACATATTTGCATAGAAAAAATATTTTTGGATATTCATACACAAAATTGTCATTTATTTCAATTCAATTTATTTTCACTTTGTTTGAATATTGTGATGTCGACACAAATATCAGAACAGCTATTCACTCAAATTCAAAAAAATTTGAAGCCAAAATCATTCATTCGTTTTGTATATGAATAATTCAAAAGCCGTTTTGAATGCATTCATGCAGCCCTCTAATATGTACATGCGTCGAAAAATAATAAAGGCGGCTCTTGGAGTATTAGGGACGGCGAGTGCCGCAGACGATGAGCTATATGAGCAACGTTATGGACATAGTGCATCGAATTAAAATACAGACGCTGAGCTGTGAAAGTGTTCAACTCGGAATCCGCTGGTGGTAGCAGAGGAAGAAGCTTTGCAATTGAAGCTTTGCAATTGAAGCTTTGCTTGATGCCAGCTCTTCTCTTTGCTCGCCGCTCTACTAAGTATGTTTAGATCCTTAGGCGGTGATAGCGCCAAATAAGAGGAAAATCCACGACAGTCGGGCCTACGTAACCGGAACGACCCAGATTTATATCTGGCCAAGGACTGTCACTCCAGCAACACTCCCCAAAAAGTCTTTGGGGAATTTGTATGCTGCTACAACAACAACAGGAAAATCCTCGAAAAATGCAATGGGGGGACCTATAAAAAATAGTTAGCGTTAAAACACGGGTATAATATCGATATTGTTATCGACATTTTTATCGATATGAAAAAAAGATTTTGTTATTGATAGATTTGTGAACATATTTATCGATTTTGTTATTAGTATATTTAAGAACATTATATTATCTATCGATATAATAACCGATTTTGTTATCGACAATTTAATCAATGTTGTTAACGACATTTTAATAGATTTTGTTATCGATATTTTTATAGATTTTGTTATCGATTTTTTATTGATTTTTTTTATTGATTTTTATCGATTTGATTATCGTTATTTTAATCGATATGAAGAAACGATATTCTTATTGATAAATTTGTGAACATATTTAACGATTTTGTTATTAATATATTTATGAACATATTTTTCGATACTATTATCTATCGATATTTTTATCGATATAATACCGATTTTGTTATCGACAACTAAGAACACACATGTAATGAAGAAACTTAAAATTTTATGAACACTTCGAAAAAGAGTGGAAGCACTTCACTTTATTTCCTGTTGGCGACAGTACTGCCCACACCCACACTGCCGCCCAATATGGTACTTTTTTGAACTCAAACCAATGGCAATTTAAAACTAATGTTTTAAATTTGCTGTTAAATTAAATATATATCGTTCATCCACACATGTCTAAGTCATGAATGTGAGTGTATAATAAAGCATGGAGTATATACATTAATTAATGCATACATATGTACCATATATGTATGTACTTATACCTTTTTACACACCATTACCTCGGCGAATTAAACTAAGTGCTGCACATCAATAAGAACGAACGCTATCTGATACTTTCCTGTGCGATAGTGTAATTTGTTGTATCGATAAGTGTGTGGGTGATGTTTACAGATACACAACTATTTTCACCTGTCACATCCTTGAAATGTTTCACGTCCACTTTCCCAGCGGCAGTCACTCTGCCATCGCCAACATGTTGCACGAATGGCAACCGTTATTCAAGTGGTTGGCCATCGTTGGCCTGGTGCCATACGCCCAACGCAACCGCAACTGCAAACAACATTATGGGCAATGGCAGCGCATCTACACATCAGCATTGCTTGTGGCGAATTGGATTTTAACCATCTATGGGGTATACAACCAGCCGCTGGAGGACGAAGTGCTTGTATCGAATTTTGTCAGCGTAATGGTTTTTCTCAGTCAAAGTTTAGCACTCACCATTTGCTTGTTGGAAGCGATGTGCACCTATAGGCAATATTTCGCATTCATGCAACAATCCCAACTCATTGTACGACTCTTCAGGCAGCGCTTGCAAACCGGTCTATGTCGTTGGAGTTTGCGGCGACTGCAGCGTACTAAATATTTGCTATATTCGGGTTTCGCCTATGGCTCTCTTCCGATATCGATGGTGGTGATTTCGATTAAATACTACTACGGATACTTTTGGTATGCACTGGGCAGTATTTTTGTTTTGCGTACCCGCTGCCTTTTGGCCATTATCTATTTGGACTATATTGATTTCTATATGCAAAATTTGAATATGAAGCTGCGTTCAGTGGCCAGCTGTCGCGTGAGCAAGCAGCGTTTATGTTTGGATGTGAATTATAAAATGTTGGAATCCTTCGATTATTTGTTACAATTAAAATTGCTTTTCGACGAAATACGCAAGTTGACGCTAATGTTTGATGATTTATTCGGTTGGTCGGTTTGTGCATTGTTTACGGTGATTTTTCTAGATATTTGCGTTAATTCGTATTGGATCTTTCTGACTTTATCAAATGTATTCGAATATTATTTCCTCTACTTAACAGCGTCGACTGTGCTCCCGCTGATCGCTATTACCACGCTTTTATGCCAAGCGGGTGAGAACTGCAAGCGGCAGGTGAGTTGCGAAAACTTGTATTGCAAAAACAAGTAGACATAGCCCTGTGTTTTATTTCTAAACTATAACTGATAGAAATGTTCAATATGCGCAACTACGGTCAAGTGCCGAATTAGAACATAGTTTGGTAAATAAGGCATTTCCATCAATTATAGTTTAGAAATAAAAGAGACTGATGCCTGGGGGCCGGATGCATTTCTGAACACAGCTTTTATGTACTAACTTCTATATTCTTTTTCATTAATTCATTAGTCACTTAAGACGGGTATTTTGATACAACGTTTACTACATAGTAAGTATAAATATACCAATGCAAAGGTATATAACGACTTGCTATTCGAATTCGCAATGGAAATACAACAAGATCCTATGAAAATAGCAGTAAAAGAATTTGTGACTGTGGATCTGCGGTTGCTGATGAAGGTGAGTATAACTTCGAGATATAAAAATCAACCATAAATATGTACATACTATTGAGGGATTCACAATGGTGTCGTAAGTGTCGTTTTGTTGTATGTCGCAACTTTAAAAGCTTAAATAAATGTTTATAGAACTTGAAGCCGCAACCAACTGCGAGAATGCATCATATCGCGAGAATGCATAATCTGACTTTGATGGTACTCTTATGGTCTGATTATGGCAACTTAACGTAACTTATGGCTCTCTCTTAAAAATTCTGTTAAATGGGTGTTGCTTATAATTGAACAGCCGAAACTTAACGTAACTTAATGCCACGTCGAAATCTGTTTCATTTCGATTCTCTAAGTTCTACGTTCCATTAAGTTAAGTTGCCATACTCTGGTAGTCGGTCAGAGAGGTACACTTATGTCAGTTAGGCCAATTGTGCTGCCACTATTAGCGTGCCCTTTGCTCTTTACCTCAGTTTCCCGTGTGGTGAAACCAGCGTATTACCTTAACGTAGCGTTGAAGGTCGCGGATGTCTACCCAATCGAGATCAGCTAAACACTGAAAGAGATATTTATTAAAAACAACAAAACTTGACCTTACCAGAGCGGAGAAGTGGCAGAAATAGTGCTCTACACTCTTAATCTCCTCCTCGTCCCTGTAGCCATGACAGAAATCGTTAGCGGAGTAGCCCGTTCGCTGTGTTCTATGATACCCACTACTGCGCTAATAATGGGACAATCAGTACGTAGAAGAGTTTTGATCTTTCCTCATTAATTCTAAGTCAGATATGTTTAGAACGGAACGGGTTGGTTCCTACGCCGATGGTTCGTTGGCAAATTTTTTGAAAACAGATTTCAGCCGCGGCGTTAACTGAGCGTAGGTCAGTTTCCCTCCTTGGAATCTGAGGGCTCTCCTAGTGTAAGTCCAATTAAATTTGGGCGCGTTACAACTGGATTGATATCTACCGTAAAGGTCGGTAGGAAGATGATTTAATACAGTTTGGAGGGCTTTACTGGGGTTAGAGGGCATGGTACCCGCGATTAACATGGTTGTAAGTCTTTTTACCCTATCCAATATGCTTCTATAAGTGGGTTTTTCCAGAGCCGGCTACCATACTATGATCACATAAAAAAGAATGGGTCGAACAATATTGTGTGAGGCGCCCTCTATGTCAATTAAGATTCTTAAAGTAAATTTATTAAAGGCAAGTCCCTTTTAAATTTTGGACACAATTTCTGTAGCGCAGTGGCCACAGATTTGCCTTTAGACTAGAGATGGGCACGGGCCTAAATTTTCAGGCCCGGCCCGGCACGAGTGCAAAATCAACTTTCAAAAATACGCACGAGCCCGCACGTAAGAATTTTAGGGGGGCCCGGCCCGGCACGACGGGACACGTTCCAGCCCGGAAATAAAGAGCCAACTTTTATTGTATGTATACATATGTACATATTTTTAATTTTGTGTTTATGTTTGTATATTTACTTAAGCGAATCAATTTTTTACATCAACGATTTCTATGATATATTTTCTGGGAAGTAGAAAAAGTGGAAGGTATTTTATGTACAGATATGTAAACAAAAGTATTAAGTATCTTATTTTTTCTATCGGTTTCCAAATATTTCTGTTTTTGCTTTTCTCTTATCAAAAGAGTTTTAATATGTACTATTTTTTTTGTATAAAAAGAAAAGCTTATTTAAATTTGTAGTATTAGCAACGGTCTTTTTCGTGCTTATTCGTGCTTTTATGAAATTTTACTGAACGCCCATGCACGCACGAGTTCGTCCTGACAGCAAATATTCCGGCCCGTACCCGCGGGCTTACGCAGGCGCCCGCCGGGCCCCTCCCAAAAGCCCGGCCCGTCCACATCTCTACTTTAGACTAATCATGTTGACATTCCGACACATCCACCGTCAAAAGGCGCTGTAGAATATAGGTGTCGAGAAGTTTTTCTAGAATTCTAAGTGGAAAGGAGATTAGGTTTATTGGGCTGAAGTCATTGGGTTTGACATCAGAGACCTTTGCTCATTTAGACCAGTGTTGCCGTTGCGCGACTAAAGTGGAAATTTTTTCCCTTTTTAAGCGCCAATACTCTTTGAGCCGACTTTTTGAAAATTTAGATTTTTTTACCCTTTTCCAAAATTATTATTATTAGAAAATGTTAACAGGACCAAGCTATTAAAAAATATTTCCTCCTGTAAATACGAAAAAATGCATCAATTACAACTTTTATGAGAAATGTAACTCTTCTCGTATGTTTGCAACCCTGTTTTGTGAAAAGCTTGTCCCGCTATTTTCTTTATAAATTCAATAGATTTATTCTTTTACTAGTAAAGAAAAGCAAAAATAATATGGTGACCCTTTTTTTCGTCAATGACCCCGTTTTTGCGACTTTTTGAAAATTCTCAACGGCAACACTGCTTTAGATATGAAGACAACCCTCGCCTTGGCCCATGTGATAAGAAATGGATCTCAATGAACTTGAGGTCAATGTCCCTCAGAACAAAAAATTTTCTCCTCGAGAAAATCGATATATCATACTTTAAGATTCGGCTGTAAGTGCCGAAGACACGACGAAAAATTATTTTTTTTCTTCGAAATTGCCTTGCCAAAACACTTTAGACTCAGGCCAATACCAATATATATTTAATTCAAAAATTGAGAAATGATCCCTGCAAACCAAAGTTAGCGAAGCTTTAACGAAATCTTTAAGAGTATCCGCAGAATTTGGAATCTTCAAAGAAACTCATATGAGATTAACACGAACTCGTAAAGGAATTCCTGTGCGATTTCTTAAAAAAAATTCAGCAAAAAATGTTTCTCATCGCAGAACTATTATCATTGCTTTACCGATTTTCTTCCGCAATTTCGTTAATTCATGGAAATGCGCATAGTAAATATATTGCATTTTAGAGATCTTAACGAATTCTTTAAGATTTTTCCACTGTTTAGAATACTTTGAATACATGGTTTGCGTGGACGTTTCATTGACGTTATGAAGCACTTTCACTTATAATTTATTATTATCCAGCACAATTACTAATTTTTCAAAAAGTATGATTTTTCCATTTTGAAAATGGACCCCCAAGAGATATTCGCACGACTTCCAGTGTTTACACTAAGTTGTCTTCTGGGTAACAACCGAACAACTGTTCGAAAGCGGCGGAATTACCAAATGTATTCTATTTTAAGACCTCTGCCAAAATATTTCGGAAAAATATGAAGATTAAAGTTAGCTGGACTGATTTGAAAATTCCTTAAATCTTATGATTTTGGTTCCGTTGATAAAATTTTTAGACATTTCTATGTAGACCGTTAAACCCTGCTGTCATCTGAGCAGATTTTTTGAACAAAAAATTAATCTTAATATTTTCCCGGATTGTTTTAGCGCGCTAGCGGTGGTCTTTAAATAAAATACATTTTTTAATACCGAAACAAAAAACAGAATCGTTTTGCTGTTTGTGAGGAGATATATGCACCCTATCATATGTACATATGCATATTCTTTAATGTGCTTTTTTTCATATTTAAAATAATTTTTTTAATTTTTCAGATATTTACTGCTATAGTCACATATTTGGTGATATTACTACAATTTCGTTGGACATACCCTGAAGATTACGGAGATGCGGTCTAATGAAGGAACTGAGAAAACACTAATACATAGCTAAGCATTTGATTTGAAGCTCTTAAATACATATAAGAATAATAATTTATAAATATATACTGAGAACTTGGGTATTTATTATTATTATAATTTTTTTTATAATTATGTTGAAAATTTTTGAAATCGGACTAAAATTACGCCTACTTACAATGTAACGGTATATTTGAGAAATACGAAAACTCCGATATTTCAATAACTAAAGCCATCAATTTACCCCAACTTTCAAGAAACAAGCTTATAGATTTTTTTATGCCTACTTAATTGTATATCAATAACCGCTTTAAAAAAAAAAAAGAGATATTTAATACGTGCGCCGGGTATAAAATGTTCGGTTTCGCCCAAACTTATACTTCTTTACTTGTTTTATTTTGAAATCAAATAATATATAGAGGTCGCGGGAAGCGCTCAAAATTTTCCAAGTATTTTATAATAGGAAAAAACTAGACTAGAAAAAACAGGAGACTTCCATTACAAATGCCCAATTGTTTATTTTACCATTTTTAATACCTAATTTAAGTGGATTTGTGGATCCCCAAAAAACCTCACAAAATGCAATACGGTGACCCGCGTTGATTTTCAATATTTTTTTTTTTTGGCTAACGTGTTGGATAAATGAAGCTATAAGGTTTAAATTGTAATGTCAGGAAAAATTAAGAAAACGATTAAGTAAATTGAAATAAGCCCGTTTTATATACATTAAAAGGAGAATAAAATATTTAAGCCGACTTCGATTTGCCACTTCTATGCTCGCTATGTTTGTGTTCTGGCTAGGATTTTGCAGGCTTCTAGGAATCCTAGAACTTCCACTGGAAAGATGCTTGTATCATTTCCCAGTCGTAGTGACAGAAAAACACCGAGTTCCTCGGAGTAGAGACGTCGGTGTATAGAGAGATCGCCTCTCGGTCGGTCACTCCGTCTCTTCTCCAGTCCCTTCTATATGGGAAAAACACTTGAACGTAGTCTGTCGTCCTACTGAATTGCATTTGATTTATGATCAACCCATCTCCGAAGTGTCTAGTCCACCAAAGCTTTGACTCTCTGAGTCCGACCGTCGATTTCAAAGCCACTTCTTTGAGGTGGAGATCAATAGGGATTAAAATGAGGATAGCATTTAGGGCTTCTGCCGGGCAGGATCTTAATGCACCTGTTACTCCTGCGTTTATTGCCCTTTGTATGCTTCTAAGTTTGCTAGCATTATATTGTTTGCTTAGTCCGGGCCAACAGACCAAGGCGGCATATGTTAGGATTGGTCTTTTGATCGCGGTTTACATCCACATCACAAGCTTAGGTTTTAGTCCCCAGTTTCTGCTGAAGATTCTCTTGCAAGTGTAGTATGCTATGTAGACCTTCTTAAGTTTGCTATCCAGCACGACTTCAAGATACTTTGTCCTGAAGATAATAAGAGTGACTTGCCGTCTAGCGACAGTATTTTGAGTTATGGCATTTTGATTGTGTTATTGTAAATAGGATAAGTTCTGTCTTGGCTAATTTCATATTTAGGCCGCTTTTCTCAGCCCAGGTGTTTAGCCTTCCTAGGGCCCTGTTGTGCTGTTAAGAGTTTCGCTTCTCCTAGTAGCGATCTTATATAAATGTCAAGCAGCCTTTCCATTGTCTTAAGTATAAAGGAGGTAAGGCTTAGGTGTCTAAAGTGTTTTGCTGATTCGTGGTTTTTCTTTTCTGGCTTGGGAATACTTAAATACGACTTCTACCCTTATCTAGCTTTTAGGAATGTAGCACACGGTTATAATAATAATAATAATAATAATAATAATAGGTGTGGTGTGCGCCTTGATGTTGTCACACAAAGAGGAGGGACCTATAGTTTTACGCCGACTTCGAACGGCGATTGCATTTTTATGAGAAGCCGTTTTTCATGGCAGATATACACTCGGAGGTTTGCCATTGCCGGCCGAGGGGCGACCGCTGTTAAGATTAAACTTTTTTAAATTTTGTTTGCGATGTTGCTTTGACCAGGGCTAGAACCCAGGCCCCGCGCGGTGGAAGCGCTCACTGCTTACGACTACACCACAATGGCCACCACGGTTATAGTAGCCTTAAAAGTAGTGGGATTATGCCATCAAGTCCAGGGTATTTGAAGGGAAAGAGGCTGTTGATAGCGTAAACAATCGAGTTTAAAATGTATTGCTTGTAAAACTAGGTTCCCTGATGTGGATGGATGTCGAATAAATCCCGGGAAATGAAACTTTACTCACTTGTTTAAAGAATCCCTAGTTTTACTCGTCCACACCCCGTTTTCTCCCTTGGTTCTAAAGCAATCATTGAAGATTTTCCTAGTTTTATCTCTTTGGGCTCACTGGAGTTGATCTTTCAATGGCTTTCTTGCTAACATCTTCCAGTTTGTTTACTCTATTATCAACGTCCTCAATTGTAGTGACTGTTGTGTTTAGTGGACTATTACTTAGTCACGCTTATCTTTACCAATTAGTACTTTGGCGGTTTGTGTATTTTAAGGGGGTGCTAGAAATTCTGTAAATATTAAAGCGGATCATTAAGGTGATCAGACATTGAAGGCATATCAGATACTCTCCACTGCTCTACAGATACGCTATCGTTCTCTGACAACCGCGTTAGACCCGGTACCTCCTCCCATAAACGAAACCGGTTTCAACTCGGGAATATAAAGGTGGATGTAGGCAATACTGCAGATGCTTATGCTAGTATTTAATAAGAAGTGTAATAAAGACTCACCTTGATCGTTCTCTGTAGTACTACCTCAGACTGGATGCCACTCCCACTATGCCCTTCCTTCTTCTTCAATTTCATTGGAGTTTAAAATTAGAGCCCAACAATTGTGTCGCTTTATCGTTATATCGATGATTGCATTTACACCCAACCAAGCGCATAGAAGTTTCACTTCCAAAGGGAATATGTACTTATGCATCTGTGGTTCATGTAAATTTATCGATTTCTGATTCATATCCAAATCCGCCTGCCCTTTGGAGAATTTTCTGTCTGCGCCCTTATATGCACATATATCATTATTTCGTAATAAGTCTAGAAACATACTAAACTACCTATTTAAGTATTTTGTTGCATTCAGCGGATATGTATAAAAAGTGACACTTGAGAATCTTCAAACCGCCTTAATCCAGTTTAATGCCTGCAATCATAATGCTTGCAATGACAATATATTTTTACAAATTATTTATAGGCACCTACCAACAGTTGGGTGTGTGCATGTTACCAACCTGGACAAACAAAGAAAAAATAATAAATTAAAAAAAAAAAAAAAATACAAAAATGTAAGTATTTTTGACGTTTCATTTCAGTTCGACTGATAAGAGGCGCTTCAATTCTTCACTCGAGGAGTATCAGCATTTACAAGCGCGCCGGCCAACAGCAACGACAACAGTAAGAAGAAAGTGCTTCTAATCGCTATCTCTCAGACCTAACAAGTGTGCACGAGCGCACAGTTTTTATGTATGTACATTCATACATACAAATATTTATATGTTTTTCACAAGCTTTGAAACCTAGACGCTATCAAAATGTATGTAGGTACTACATATGTACATATATGTACATACATAAATTTTTGTTTTGTTTTTAATATTTTATTTATAATCATTGCAGTATAATTTTTTTATTTTTTTGTTTTTTTTTTTGTTTTTACTATTAAAACAATTTCGTTTCTGTGTTGTCCGAGTTGTGAGTACGTTTGCCGGTCGCAAGTTGAGTATATAAATATCAGTTGGCCGACTGGCGATCATTCAAAAGTGTTTAGTTTTTCATAGCAGCAAGACAGACGGTTTTTCTACCCGACTCAGCTGTTATTTCAAAGAAATTGCATAAGATTTACATAGCTGCCTATGCGCATACATACTTACATACTCAGATATAAGCATTAACTTACTAGTGCAGTGAAGTGCAGCATACAGCAATTTCCGACGATTGGTTGTCTTTTCTTTTTACTGCAAATTGAAATAGCAATTTCGTGTCGATAATTGCTGACAAGTGAAAGGAAAGCGATTTTAGTGTCCATAAGAAAAAAGTGCAAGTGCAAGTGCAAGTGGAAGACTGAGGAAGTGCAACACAAGAAATGGCTGTTAGTATTTTACTGTTTTTGTATATACATACATATGTTCATATAAATTGTTATATTAAGTTAAATTCATTAACAATGGTAAATACTTGCTGAATGAGGATGTTTGCTAAGGAATGTTGTTGGGTTGTGAACAAGTGTATTTAATTTAAAATTATACTTAATATTGAGGTAGTTAATAAAAAGTGTAGTGTACTGTAAAAGCAGTAGCAGGTCGAAGAGAATGACTGAGGTTTATTTTAAGTCGCCAAATTTTTTCAATTCGTTCATAAAAATTTGATTTTCGCTCAGTTCCAACAAGTATTTTCTTTCTAAAGTCAGTGAAAGTAGTCGTTTATGTAGTGTAGCACATAAAGAAATGTGTTTTCTATTTATCTACAGCACCTTTCTTTTTTTTTTAATATTCACCATGACGCAATAAACTGGTGAAGTAATAAAATAGCTTTATTTTTTGACATTCGGCTGCCATATAGTTAAATTTTAAAGGCATATTTTAAAAGAGGGCAGTGTTAAAATCTTTCCTCTCGTTCCAATTACTTCACCTGGTATAATTCCACCATGAATATTCGTAATGTTTATCACGCGAAAACTTTTATTTTATTTTTTTAATTAAAAATTTCTTCAGCTCGCACTCGGCTGGACCGCTCCTCTCTCAGATTAGTAGTCGGGGTAATCACAGGACACTGCCTGATGGGTACACACGGTAAAAGGTTAAAATACCCCACCAACCATATTTGTCGTAGTTGCAGAGACGAGGAAGAGGTGGAGAGCATCGAACGTTATCTCTGCCATTGTCCCACTCTGGTCAACATGCGCAACCAATTCTTCAGCAAGTAATTTCTAGATTGCTTAGCCGACTTGAACTCGGCGAACGTCCTCGACCTTTTGTGTTAAATAAAACACAACCGGTGGTTCAATTACTAAGGAAATGAAAGAAACAAAGAGCTTCGGCCAGTGGTATCACAA